GCAGGAAAGTGCAAGGTGTGAGAAATATCTCATGTGCAAGTCCTCTCTGAGCATTAGGCAAGGAACTCCTCTAAAAGGTATAAAAGTAAAAAATTGACCAGAAAGAGAGAGAATTTGGGATGCCTGGGAGTATTTTATGACATCTCCAAACCAAGGCCTCTCCCAAGACTCCTTCCAACTTTACTCCAGCTACTTTAGAGAAGATGGCAGCAGGCAGGTAGCATAAGTGGAGGAAACATTTAAAAACTGAATGCTTGCCACCTTGCCTCATTCATTCCTTTGCTTTCAAAGTAGAAATGTAAAGTTGTAGCATCACAAGCTCCATTGGAAGGACCAGTGATGGCTAGAAGGTGTTTTGCTCCTAAGGCTGAGCACAGTAATGATGAGGTCCTTGGTCTGGTGGTACCTCACTGCAAGCTGACTGCAGTACCCTTCCTTCCACAGGATAATGCCACTTTTCCATAACTCTTCCCACTGATTTTAATGGGGCTACTGATGGGACAAAGCACTATTCAGCATCATGAGGCTACTTATTAAAAGCTGCTCTCCATTTCACCTCACTGCAAAACTGTATCCTCTTAACACCAGCAGTTCACTCACTGTTAATGCTGATGACTATGCATTATTCTTTACACTCTCTGCTCCGGTTATTTATAGAGTTATACAAAGCTAAACAAAGTAAATATCTTCATACGCTTCCAGTCATCATCTTCTATCAGAACACTCCTTAGTAATGCTGTACTGCTTCACAAATCTCACTATGCAAGTGTAAAGTGCCTACGCATGGCAAAGCCCACAGCAAGTCAGTCAAGAAAACATCTCTGCTTTGCAGACAGACACAGCAGAATCTTGTCGTCAGACAATGAGTAAAAAGATACCTTATGGTCCAATACACTCTGCATCTTTCTGCACTGACAGAGGAGGGGTGAAGGCATGGCAAAAGATCTCTCTGGGATCATAGCTGATGGTTTATTGTGAGATGACTGGTCTGCCTCACATCTATTTAAAAAACAAAGCTAAAGCAAAGCTGATTCCAGTTATTCAGAGCCTCAAAGCGAGCAGACCTGGATGCTACCACAGCATTACAGCCTGGTCTGTTGCACATTCCTGAGCATTACACCTCTCCTTGCCTTTCAAGTGGTTTATGGCAGAGCCATACCAAAGCTTCCAGAGGATGAGCTAAAGGCTAAGGGACAGTGACCCTCAGCTAAAGGCTAAGTGATCCCTCTCCAATGAAGGAGAACCCACAGGTTCTCAAACCCCCGCTGCTGTGTTCTCACAGCAGAGAGCTCACTCTACTTTCTCATAGGCACTGCTTTTGAGAACAAGAAGTTTCTTTTGCTTCCTTTTCCCATTTATACTACTTGCCATAAGGCCTTCTGTCATGCCACTGACGAACAAAACATACAGTTTTAGTCCTGTTTTTTAACTCGTCCCACAGGAAAAACAACCGAGCACCCTTCACTTTCAATGACCGCAAATAAAACCAGTCCAACAGCATCAGTCCAACATCAGTCTTAAAGTCTGAAATAGCTTCTCATCTGACTTCAGCTTGCTTCACTTACACTCTTACAGTCCTTAGTGGTTGAGGTAGAGGGACTGGGAAAGTATTTTTAACATTTATTACACAGTTGCTTCAGAAACAGTATTTCATCAATCAAATTAACTCCAACCTAGCATTTTAGCAAGAAAACATGTGAGAGAAATTTTCATTTGGGAATCTGAAATACTGCTGCTTAACCAAGTAGAAAGATATGGCAAATTCTTTCTCACATAGACTTATAGTGGCAACTAGCTATTAATTTATATGCTAACCACTATTACTGAAAAAAGTCTACTGCTTTGCACAAGTATACAACTGTGGCTTGAACATCTAGTGACAAGTTCTGAGCCTTTAGAAATAGGACAGTAACAGTGTGGAGCCTCAGACTGAGAGCAAAGAGAAAAGCCCAGTGGCCAAGAGTTACAGATAGCCTGTCTTTAGGTTTCAGTAAACATTGTTCAAACATCTTAGATCTCAGCCTCTCCCTCCTCACCTCCCGTATGACTTGCTGCAGCTCCTCCTGCTCCACGCTTTTGTGGATTTCATCAACCAAAGGCACGAGAGGGACTTTTTCAAGTTTGCGCTCCACCTCTGGCTTGGAGTCCACAAGCTCCTCAGAGCTTTCCACATGCTGTCCAGCACCTGCTCTCACTGGGGGAGTTGGTGTTAAGGCAACAGAGGCTCGGTATAATTTCTTGCTTTGACTCTTAGACTTTCCTGTTAGTTCAGAGGATCCAACACCAGCTTTTCTACCTGCATGACCGGAGCACACTGAAGAGGAATCAGAGTTTCCATGGGAGAATACAGACTCTGTACCCTCTGCAGGGAGAGTTTCCAGTCCAAGATCTCCCAGTCCTAAACCCAGTTCAGACTTCAGAAATGACTGCTCTCGAATAAGTTCAGAGACCTAAGGATTCAGAATAAGCATATAAAAAAGTCACATAGAGATACAACTATGCTTTCTTGTTATTTATTTAATCACTTACTCATTCCCTCCATGTAACAAATACAGCTATAAAATAAATATATGCTTTGTCTTTATGACTGCAACAAAGAGGATCATAAAAAGGAATGGGCTTTTTCAAGAGCCAACATAAATACGAATTGTGGCAGTTCCCCAAGCCACTGACTTTTGCAATATGGATGCAACCTGCCAGAACCATTGACAGAGGCACACGTAAAGGCTTGATTTTGTTTTTCCCTGCTAAAACAACTCAGGTTTGTTCTTTTCTTTCTGCAGTCTTTGAACCACTTGTTTTCAGTAGTTCAGGAGCTCAAACAGGACTCCTAGCATAAAATGCATAGAAAAACAAGAAATTAATTTTTCCTACAAAACTCACCACACAGCCATTGTATCAACTAAATGCAAACCACATCTCACTTCTACATATTCCTTTTAAAAACAAACAAGGCTTCACAGCTGCTCACATCTATAGTTAATTTTGCTTAAGGGAAAATGCAGCTGTTCTGGACGGAACTACTCAAGTGAGTAAAGTATTTCCAAGATTATGTGTGAAATCAATTTCCTGCAACCTTTTTTAAGAAATCCCTTCCTGGTTCTTTTTCTTAGTAAAACATACAGCACTCAACAATTACTTACTGGTTCAATGACATTCAATGGAGAAGGGCATGAAAGATTGTCAGCACTTCTGCTTCCATACATACCCTGAAAAATTAAGTCAAGTTAATGCATTGAGGATTTTTTTAGCACTGTCAGAAGCTAGTATATAAACATGCTATGTCTCAGATGATTTTCTGTAAAAGCAGAAACTTGGAAACAGGAAGCAAAGCTGGTTGGCAAAAGTTTATTTCAGTCATTTTTAAAGCTGTCTTTCTTCTATAAAAGGATTTACAAATAAAAAGATATTTATATGGTTCAAAGAATGCAAGTTTGGCTTGGGATCACAGTAATACCGTATTTTCCTGTTCTTGGGTTTCAATATTTTTCCCATGACAAAATACTGAAGAGGAAGATGCAGCCTTTGCCTGTGCTGCTTCTAAAGAAGAGGATTGGCTAAGAAAGAGGAATAAAACCCAGGAAGAACATATGATACTTTTCATCAGTGCTTCTTTTGTTTTGCTGATGACAGAGTTGCAGCAGAAAAAAGAGGAACAGTCTCCTGCTGAGTGAAAAAGTGTATCACCACGCCACCAATAAACACATGCAAGTGGCTTTTTTATCCTTCCTTGTATGCTTCTTGGGAGTGTCTGTGGGAGCAGAGCTTCTCCCACTATTTGGGCAGGAGCCACATGTTCAATCTGAAGGTGCTACAAAAGGCAATGGAGAAAAAAACTGAAGATGACAACTGGATTTTCCTGTTTTGTTTGTTTCATGGATTGGTAGTGCTGGAGGGGAAGCACACCCCATTTCTTGGGAGAGAAACACTGTGCGTTTCTCATTTCTCTGCCCTTGTTTCACAAGCAAAAAAATCAGTGTAGGAAAACTCCAGAAAGACCATCCCCATTGCCACAGATTTCAGACATGAGCACTACCTACCAAACCTGTGAGATTTCAGAGTCATGAAGAGAAAAAGAAGAAATCGCTGAAAGAGATCTAAAATGTCAGACCTTAAACCCCAGAATATATGTATTGGTATATTGGTGCATATTAGCCTCAAGAAAGTCCCTCTATTTACATACCTTTTCCCCAAGATGAAAAACTGACTGAAAACAATAAAATACAGCCCATGATAATACACACAACATCATTAGATTCCCCAGATATCCTCCCATTTTAAGAGTTTTAACAGTTATGAGTTATTAACATGACTCTGAGAAAACATCTAATGTTGTTGCAAAAGTAATACTTACTACGTGTGTCTGAGGTCTGTAAGGTGAAGACATGTGCAGACTTCTCAGTTGATCTTCCAAAGCAAGTAGACGTTCTTCTAACTGCATCTCTAACTCCTGTAGCTCCATGCGGACAGACTTTCTCAAGCTCTGTAGCTGATCAGCTTCGTATCTATACCAAGTCCATCACAAAAAGAACAAGGGCATTCACTGCACACAGCTGCACACCACAAAGGGGCAACTGAGCAGGGCAGTTCCATAAGTAAAGGAGTCTCTGTACAAAGGAACTCAAAAAGTGGAATACAAAAAATTCATCTTTCACAGAAAGATTAGCTGAACTCCTAGATGGAACAAAAGTCTTTCTCCATTTATAGAACATATATATCACTTCCTGGAGAAAACTAAACAATAAGGTGTATCACAGAACATTCTCCAAAAATTATAGCTTTAAATGCTTAAGTACATGCAAGCAGAAGAAATTGGGATTTAGACATATATATAATCAAATCAAATTTAAAACTAGTGACAACAAAAATCACAGACCAATGCAGTAATCACATATTACTTCTCCTGCATGGTTCTAGATTCCCAAGGAGTTGTAGTTACATCTTGACCAGGATGTCATAGTCTAAGGTGGCCAACTGATTTCAAACACGTTTACTTTCAAAGTGATTAGTCAAGAGCTAATTCAACTAAACTAAACATATAAGCAGTTTTGAAAATTTTTCCAGATCAGCTGCTGCTGCAGCTCCTGGAGAGCACAAACACAGAGCCAGAACACGAATGCCATCTGTAGCCTGCTGAGTTGCCACTCTAAGTTGGAAAAACATCTGAAGGCTACAATGTTAATTTTTTATTTACATCTATGAAAATGATGGGGGGGGGGGAATCAAAGCTGAAAATCCTTAAGACTTTTTCCCCCCAATATCCTATGTTGAAGAATCCTATCATAAAAGTCCTTAAAAATCCAGTTGTAAAAACACTTAGGAGAAAGGATGAAAAAATAAATCAATTAATGAGAAATAGAGATTAGAAGAAATAAAGAGGAAAAAACTCTAGAATTAAGAAGTATAAAGAAGAGAGTAAACAAGTTTTTGGCAAAAAACTCAGCTCCAACCCTGTTCAAATTGAAACTAATAGATTTTTTGCTCTGATTTCAGAGGCAGTGACACATTTTCTGAAGTATTTCCAGAGTATTTTCTCTCTTTTTTTTAAATGATCATTTTACCTTTCCTCTTCTGTCATATGCTGATAAACTGTTGTCTGTTGACGTAACATAGTCAATTCCAAATCCATCATTTGGGTTCTGAATAAGTTTAGATTCCGCCTTACCACTTGTAGCTCCTGGAAAGTATTCTTAAAAAAAAATAATAATACATGGAAAAATTTAATTACAGTAAGTCTGGATTCTACAACCACATTTGCCCAGGTGTGCCCTTTGAGTCAAGCAGAACCTCAGCAACTTCAGTATACTACAGGGGCTGCATGTTCTGAACTCACAATAATTCAAGAAAACAACATTTTCAGATGTATCATACAAACAAAAATATGAAAATACTTCAATGTTTTTATATTAATTCCTTTTTAATGTTATTTGCAGGAGGGAGTCATCTGTTACCTCATGAGAGCAAAGACAGAAAACTGCCCAAAGTTAGCACATATGTGGCACATTTAGGATGTTTCTTTCTATTTTATTATGACAAAGAACTATGGTGTGAACAAGGTCACTTACTTCATAGAGAGGTAGAATGGATGATCTCTGAGTAGTGTAACTAGTGACCGCTGAAAGGTCTTGACCCCTCATGACTGGGTACTAGGGAAGAAACAAATGATTTGAAATGGGAAAGTCAGCAATCCCTTTTACGAACTCATCTTCTCAAACACACAGATATTCCAAAAGCAGCCGCTGTTAAAACACAACCTTGCTGTCACTGCGATTTCTGCTATCTATGTAAATATTGTAAGAGGAAAAGGAAACCTTACAAAATGTCAGTGCCAGCTCTTAACTGAAGTATATGCACCAAAGCTCTGTAATGCAAAGGTGCTGCAGGGGAAAAACCAAATTAATGCTGTCTGACACAGTAAGAATAAAAGTTAAGTTTTCAGCCACCAGGCATTTTACGCCTGAAAACTCAGTAGTTTCAATTGTCTTAGCTAAAGATAAAATGAACAACTCAGAAAACAGAACTAAGCAAATTAAACAGTGTCCCACTTTCAAATCATTACTGAAGTCACATTTGTTGTAGGGTTTGCTCAGTTTTTAGTTTGTTTGGTTTTTTGATGATTTTGTTTTTTAATCTCACTACATTGCCTATATCCAAAGACCCTTGTGTGCTAATGATCTCTCATGAAAACAACAGTATTGAAGAATTTCTATTTGCATGTTGCATCAACACATGGAGCAAACAGAGAAAATTCAAAGGCTGTTACATGTGGAGACATAGCATAACAAAGAACAGTGAAAATAGCAAAAACATTCACCTTTTCAAAGATGAAAGACAGCTTGTCCAATATAATTTTGAAAGAATTCAAAGGACTATTGACACACCATGGAAAATTTGAAGCATGTCCATTCATCCAGAGGAGTTTTGCTCAAACATGATCACATCAAGGTGATGTGGTTTGTTTTTTTTTTCCTCTTGTAATTTTCTCTGTTCCCTGTTCTATCAGGAATTTATCTCCTCCTCCTTATTCCTTCCTAAACCCAGAATAATGTATTTGAGATATCTTAACTTTTTCTTTAGCAGCTGAGTATGCTGCATGCCAAACTTGATCTTGGCTGGAGGAAAAAGCAGCATCAGGGAACTGTGTATTGTAAGCAAGACATTTTCATACAAACCTCTGTAATGAGAACGACCAAGCCCCCAAAATGGAACTAGTCTAGGCAAATTACACTGGAAGCAGAACAAGTGGGCTAGGAGATATTACTATCCCCTCCAATACTAATTTTGTTTTTTCTAATTGAACCAGCTTGAGCATGAATTCTGGACGTAATACAGAGACTTCTTCAGCAGGTTTAGTTAACATGGTATAAGTGATAAAAGTGCAGTAACATACTGTAACCATACCCATATCAAGGCTGAAATTGGTTCCCAAGAGGAAACTTTACAAAGAAGGCTAAATTCCACAAACGCTTACTCCCAGACACACTGTCCACTACCTTCAGCAAGGGCTGACTTGAACCACAGCAGATGGCAGCTTTCCACTGCAGAGCTGTGTCCCACTACCCAAGCTTGCTCCAAGAAGCAAGGCCGGCTGATATAACCAAAGTCAGTCTGGACTAACCTCTAATTTCTGACAAGTGGTAAAATAAAACAAACAACAGGGATCTAAAAAAGCCCTCTACAGCCTGTCACCTTCAATATGGTACTGGCAGGCACTTGTTTGTTCTTGGGTACAACCCACAGAAATTGTTGAAGCTCTACAACTAAACAGTGTTCATGTATTTATATATAAACAAGCAGAGTCTGCTCTGCCCACGTAGCCCCCTGCAGCAGCTTGCAGGCTCCTAAGTTGGATCACCACCTAAGAGAACAGCAGTAGAGGGATGGCAGGGGAGAGACAGCTGGCTATCAGGAGGGAAAG